GACATCACTTCGAAAACCACTTTTTTGGGTCCAGGGGGACCCAAAACGAATATATCCACTCAAAACTCAAACTCGAAAATTTTGACGAAAACAATACTTTCTCCATATACTATGGTATAGGGGGAGAAAGTAATAAAATAACCTCATAGTTCCATAGTTAGTATTTAACCAGCTGTTAGTTAAAACAAATTATATCCCTCTAAAACAAATCGAAGATTACAAAGATTGCTTTAAAAAGTAATTTGAACATCCTAGTATTTTACTATGTATATTTAATTAATCTGTCATCCTTTTACAGAAGAATTGGACGTATCAATAATTAGCATTACACATAGTATAAATAAGTCAACCCTAAGTATGTCTTTAAATTTTTATCCAAATGCTGAATTTGTCACACAAAAGCTGAATGTTTACAGCTGTTATGTTTAGCAAATTATTTTATGCCAAAAGCTAGTTTAGAATCTTAGCGTCGGCTGCTAGACTTTTTAAAAATTAAAACTTAATTTCTAAAAAACTGGAACCCTAAACTAAAATTATGGCTTCGACATTCCCTAGTTTTCAAAATGATCTTCCTTTCAACACAAATATCATGAAAATCCTTCGAGTGGTTGATTCAGAATCGTGAAATAAAAAAACACTGTTTCGTTTTAATATTATAGAAGATAAATAGATAGATGTTAACAAGTGGTACTGGTATAACTTATCAGCCCAGCTTTTAGAGACTTGAAGACAGTTTGGTTTTAAATGTATGTACTAGAGATACATGCATTTTTATTTACAAGAGTTCATTACAAAATTACATCACTTTAGTAATGACTGGACAAATTGAGGGGAATTGTAAATATCATAATTTCATCAATGAATTCTTTAAATTTTATTTTAATAACCGGTTTTGGTCTTGTCTCCCTTCAGTAGAATCCCTTGTATTCATCCTTGGTTTAACTGACTCCTCAAAATATTTAAATACGAGTGTGGTTTTTAAGTAAGGGCCAGTGCTGGTCTCAGGTATAAATCTGTAGTTCGCTTGTACGCCACACCGAGGATAATCACCATTTTACTGGCATCATTGGTGAACAGAATTACACAAATTTCAGCTCTGTAGCTGTCATGTAATCTTTGCTGTGTGTTTTTAGCGAATTTCCCATATAGGGAATAAGCTATTACCGTAGTACTCATGGTAAGACCTGGACCCGGGACCGATTTAATTTTTAGTTTTGAGGTCCCTAGTGGCCAAAAACACCATCCGTTCAAATTGATATATATGTGTGTCTGTTAGCGCGATAACTCGAGCAAAAATGATCCGATTTTGATGAAATTTGGTAAAAGCGTGTAAACCATAGTTTATTCTAACGAGTTCGCGATCCAGCATAATCGGACTATGGGAACGGGGGTTTATGGGGGTTTTTATGGGGTAAAAATGGGGTTTTCCCATTTTTGACAAAAAAAAACAAAAAAAATTGCGATTTCTTTCTAAAACGTTTTGTAGAGCTTAAAAAAAGAAATAATTAAGTATATTGAAGGGCTTTTGTATGCCTAACGGTCACGGAGAAAATTCAAAAATAGTGTAATTTAAAATTCCCATGTTATTCTTATGGAGAAAATGAAAATTGGTGTAGTTTACTTGTTTATGGGTATATATAATTACCATCCTCTTGACCGATGACCATTTCTGGATAGGTCGCGTCAGTAATGATACAAATATCATAAAACTTACAAATAAAAAATACTTCAACATATAAATAAATAAATTAACTTGAGTGTCAGGCGGCATAAAAAATATTAAAAAACTAACTGGGCTTTGAAGTAATCCTCCAAGGAATAAAAACTCTGTTGGCAACACCACGACTTTAACTTCTTTTTGAACAGTTTCGGCTCCAGGTTCTTAATGTTCTCAGGCAGTCTATTAAACATCTTACAAGCCAGTAGTGGGAAACTGTCCTTCACTTTAGAAGTGCGGCATCTGGGAATAGAGATCAGGTTGTTGTTTCTCAGATTGTGACCGTGAAGCTGCCCTCTTATTTGAAAATCAGCTAAATTCTCTTTTACGTAGAGGAGGGAGCTCAACACGTAGTTCCCATAGACTGTCAGGATGCCAAGCTCTTGAAATAAGGCCCGCCGCACATTGGAGCGAGGCGAGGTGCAGGCTAGGTGCAGGCGAGGTGCAGGCGGGCGCGGCTGATTCTGTAATACACGTGTTTAAATGGAGCACCGCACATTGAGCAGAGGCTGCACGCAGCCTCCGCCCAGCACAGCTGCAGCCTCTGTCAGGCCTCCGCGGCGTTGTGGTTAGAATACAGTTTTCCTGCACCTCGCTCACGCCTGCGTTGGTTTTCTACTGTTTTGTAGTGAAAGATATAGTAATGGAGCATTTAATTCAGATGGCTACAGTTGTTGAGCATTGCATTCTTTTTCGCTAGTGGCACTTTTAATAAAATTATGGATATCATCAAACTGTTGTTTGTTCACACGAAAAAATGCTCATAAAAAGACCGGTCTTGCAGTTCATTAGTTAAAACATAATCTCCACGACTTAATCTTTTTTCATCTACCGTAATCACATTTCCAAAAAAGTCGTTTTTCGGATAGCGAATAGAGTAAAACTAAATTATTCAACTAACAATTAGAATCAGTAAACATCAAACAAATCTGCCTCTACTTCCGAAGTACGACCAAAGCTAGGAAACCTCTGTCCCGCCTCGCTTCAATGTGCGGTGACAAGAAAAAGTCTTCGCTCCCGCCTGCACCTAGCCTGCATCTCGCCTGCACCTAGCCTCGCTCCAATGTGCGGTGGGCCTAAAGGTTTGCAGTGTTGCCTATACTCAGCTCCTGTCATAATCCTCAAAACCATCTTCTGGTACAGGAGGACTCTCTCACATGCTGCAGAGTGCCCCCACAAAAGCAGTCCATAGGAGATGTGTGTATGGAACAGGGAGTGATAGATGACGACAAGATACTGCAAAGTGACCAAATTTTTCAGTTTTCTGATCAGGGAGATCACTCTTGACAGTTTCTTGCACACAACGCTGACATGATCATTCCAAGAGAGCTTGCTGTCTAGATAGAATCCAAGCAGTTTCACTGGCTGATTTTTTACAACAACTCCCGCGAGGGAGCAGATGAGCTGTTGAGTCTTGTCTTTGTTTAGATTTAGTCTTTGTGTATAGATAAGAGACTTTTTACTAATATGTATATTGATCAAATTTGGCAAATTTATTTATTTCATCCTATACTATTGACGTATGGTCAAAAAACACTTTTTACCTTCCCTGTAGCAGCAAACCTAAGCACTCGTTAAATCTAATGTTATTTAAATAGGGAATAATATGTATTATTTATGGAAATATTTTAGTAAAAATGTAATCAGACAAGTTGAAATTCGCTTAGTCTGCAGGTTTGCTGCGGTGGGGGTATTTCAACATCTAATCTCCTGCCGCCTCCGAGGTAAGGTCAGTGATATGTTTTTTGATTAGGTACAAGAAACATATCTGATGCTGACATTCATCGCCTCATCCCCAAATGACTGAAGGTGATGTCTTTAATACTATGAGTGAGGGTAAAGTGCGGAAATGCGTTATAGAGTGTGAACTCTTTTTTCTTAGTGGTCTTCTTTGACTGGATACTCACCAAAAACACAATGTGGCGTCAACTTAGCCACAGCTGTGTTGCCTTTGGTCTATGCTTTGTTTTCATATTTGTTGTGTAACAGCTGTTGCTTGTTTTTGTAAAAATGTTCATTTTAGCGAATTTCCCATATAGGGAATAAGCTATTACCGTAGTACTCATGGTAAGACCTGGACGCGGGACCGATTTTTTTTTCGTTTTGAGGTCCCTAGAGGCCAAAAACACCATTCGTTCAAATTCATATATATATATATATTTATATATTTATATATTTATATATTTATATATATATATATATATATGTGTCCGTTAGCATATGTGTCCGTTAGCACGATAACTCGAGCAAAAATGATCCGATTTTGATGAAATTTGGTACAAACGTGTAAACCTACGTTTATTCGAACGAGTTCGCGATCCAGCATGATCGGACCATGGGAACGGGGGTTTATGGGGGGTTTTATGGGGTAAAAATAGGTTTTTCCCATTTTTGACTCAAAAAACATAAAATTTTGCAATTTCTTTCTAAACCATTTTGTAGAGCTTAAAAAAACAAATAATTTAGTATATTGAAGCGTTATTATGCGCCTAATGGTTTCAAAAAATTGTAAATTTAAAATTCCTATGTTATTCTTATGGAGAATAAGTAAACTGTTGTAGTTTGCTTGTTTATGAACATATTTTGATCGAATTTAGAAAATTTTTTATTTCTTACTAACTATTAGCATTTTACAAAAAAAAACAAAAAAAAAAAAACTGTTTTACCCTCTCTGATGCAGCAAACCTAAGTACTTTTTAAACTAATTCTATTTAAATCGGGAATAAATGTTATATTTTTAAATAGACATTTCAGTGTAAATCCAATCAGTCAAATGGAAATTCGCTTAGTCTGCAGGTTTGCTGCGGCGGGGGTATTTGATTATGTTATGATTCAACACACAACTTAATTCATTTGTAAATAAATCATTATCAAATACTCATTCATATAGTGGTGAATTTAATTCATAGAGATTATCCACACTATAGGGTTTGACAGATTTTAACAGATTTAAAACCAGTTTATTCAAATTGTTGTCAGATAAATGCTGCTACAAGATTGGGGACTTTTTCAATTAGCTATTAGTATGTCAAATCAATAGTTAGTTGTAATGGTTGAACAGTAAGTAGTTGTAGGGGAGAAAGTATAGATTATAGCTCTTAATTAATTAGTGCTGTAAATTTGCCAAATGTATAGTTATGTTTATTCTTGACTTGACACAATTCATGTATAGAAATGTACTGTTTGAGTAAAGGATTTTTTGATTTGATTTGATTTGATTTATATATTGGTGACCCTGAACAAAGACAACAAGAAGCACGACATTCCTACATCAGTATTACCAATGTCGCTAGAAGAAATCGAAGCTCAATTGGCAAATCTACGGGAGCAACAAAATGAACTTTCCACCAACGTTCAGCAACGTAACGACTCTGGTAATGTATCAGTAAATCGAGTTGCAGTAAAGCTTCCACCATTCTGGGCCGATCGACCTAGTCTATGGTTTGCTCATGTAGATTCCCAGTTCACAATCTCAGGCATCACAAGCGAGGACACTCGGTTCCACTACGTCGTTTCTCAGCTTGAAACACGTTACGCAGTGGAAGTAGAGGACATAATCACAAATCCGCCTGCAACAAATCGTTACGCGGTACTTCGTTCGAAGCTAATTGAAAGGCTCTCTAATAGTGAAGAAGAATGTGTTCGCCAGTTGATGAGTGACGAAGATATCGGAGATCGCAAGCCATCGCAGTTCTTACGCCACCTACGTTCTCTGCTCGGTCCAGCCCAACTACAGGACAACATCCTTCGAGCACTCTGGCTACGCCGTCTCCCTGTTAACATTCAAGTGATTCTCACTGCTCAAAATGAACTTCCACTCGATAAACTTGCAGATATAGCCGATAAAGTCATTGAAGTTTCTACAAGAACACCACAAGTATCGGTAAATGCTACTACATCTCGTGAACACACACAGTCTAATGACGATCTCACTGCTGTTGTTGCAAGACTGACACAAAGGATTGACACACTCGAAGTATCCCTCCGGCACATAATCGTTCGACCAATCATGACAAGAAAACATCAAAGAACCCGAATCAAGATCAGAACAAATCTACAAGCCAAATTTGCTGGTATCATGCCAAATTTGGCGAACAAGCTTCAAAATGTACTTCTCCTTGCTCTTACGCGGGAAACTCCAAAGACGGCCAGTAACAGCGGCGGCTGACTGTCAAGCATCCAGCCGCAGAATTTTTGTTTCGGATCATAAGTCAGGACTCCGGTTCTTGATCGACACCGGCTCTGACGTATCATGTTATCCAAAACGTCTTCTACGAGACCGTCGCACATCTACAGACTTTGAACTTAGTGCCGCCAATGGTAGTACAATCAAGACTTACGGAACCTGTTCTATGAAATTGGACCTAGGCCTTCGCCGTAGTTTTGCATGGCAGTTCACAGTTGCAGATGTCAGTGTTCCAATCATTGGCTCGGACTTCCTCAGTTACTACCATTTGCTTCCTGACTGTCGTTTGTTGCGACTTCACGATGCCAAAACTGGACTTATTACAGGAGGACAACTTTCCGTTACGACTCAAAGTAGCGTAAAATCCGTAGTCACTACTTCTCCCCTCTCTAAAATCTTACATGAATTCCCTGAAATTACTCGCCCTCCAGGATTGCCTCGAGAAGTGAAGCACCAGACAGTGCATCACATGAGTGAAAATTTAAAAACGTACGTTTTCAGGAAAAGCACTTTGCAATTTTTTTCCCCCTTTTTTCAAAACTTTTATTATTTTTTTTATTTCATTAACATTTGAAGTTTCATAAAATGTCCATGGCAACGCAATATCTTTGGTAGTTATTTTTTAAAAGAGCATCTTTAGTGGAAAAACACAAAATCCTGTCACGACCATAACGGACGTTTAAATGAATATTAAAAATGGTTAATATTATTTTTATAACTATGTTTTGCTATAAACTAATTTACTTTTATGACCATTATACAATAAAAAGGTCACTAAGCTTTTAGTAGGCCTATATTTGGTCTTTCCAGAAAATAATAAAAAAACTCAAAAAATTGAAAAAAAGCCAATAAAATCTTTTTAAGTTTGTATAACTACGAAAAAACTTACCTGAGACCCGAAAAATCGTTATGTTTGTTTAGAGGTGTGCTTCTTTTGTGTATAAAACATTGAAATATGACGATATTTTAATTTTTGAAATTGTTATGATAGAAATCATAAACTTGATGGTCAGGGACAAGCGGTACGGTCGTGAATTGTCTGGAATAATTTAAATCTTTCTAGGCAATCCTTCAATTATACTGTTAGTTATAATAAAAATATGTGTTTCAATTGAACTAAACTGTTCAATTCACAATTATATTAAAGTTATTGTCACGACCAAACACACTATAATCCATAAGGCTGGATTGGTCATGAAAAAACCCGCGATGGTCGTGAAACTTTGGTCGTGAAATTACGTGTTATTTGGCTCTGTTCTGGCGGTAGCCCTGCACCTCATGTTCGAGGATACAAAGTGGACTTCTAGGTTAATCTAGCAATTGAAATATCTTATAAACAAAAATTAACACCATGTCTACTTCGTCGAATGACTACGTACGGTCATGGACACACCAAAATTACAAAAAACACAATCTTTCCTTTATTAATCTTGTAATTCCTCCTTTCAACTCGAAACGACCGGCACTACAATCCTGACATACACCCCGAACTAGTCTCTCAAACCAACTGACTCCATCGACGCCAGGCTTGCCACTGTCGGGCTCCAAAGTTGAAAATTTTTCCCAAATGGTCGTGATGCCAAATCGAGGGACAGACTTATTTTGTCATTGTAGTCAGTTTGCAATGACAATAAAATTATAATATGCTCCTTTTTTTTAAGTTTAATAACCATTGATGACATAAAAATATGGCTTTATATATTTCAGCATGAATAATTAGTCTAAAAACAGCGTGAAAGTTGGAAAATGTACCCTAGGGACACGTCATGGTCGTGAATTTTGAGACTTTAAAAATACGAAAAAAATACCTAGAACCTATTTAAAACCAAATAAATGTGTGTAACATGTTGCCCCCGTCCCAAAAAATATTAAAACACATAATAATAAACTACAAATCCAGTATCTACGAAGTAAAAGGCCAGGGACATGAAAACGTACGTTTTTAAATTTTCACTCACATACACACGACTCCAGGACCCCCTGTATTCTGCCGACCACGACGACTGGCCCCTGAAAAGCTCAGCATTGCAAAGAGTGAATTTGCCGACATGGTAAAATGTGGTACAGCACGTCCATCAGACAGTCTGTGGGCTTCACCCCTGCATCTGGCGCCGAAAGGAGAAAATGGATGGAGACCGTGTGGAGACTACCGTGCATTGAATGCACGCACCACTCCTGACAGGTATCCTGTTCGACACATTCATGATTTTTCAAATAATCTTTCAGGCTGTAACGTATTTTCTGTCATAGATCTAGTAAAAGCATACCAACAAATTCCTGTACACCCGGATGACATATGCAAAACCGCTATCACAACTCCATTCGGCCTTTTCGAGTTTCCATTCATGACTTTTGGGTTACGTAATGCTGGCCAAACATTCCAGCGTTTCATAGATGAAGTAACACAAAACCTAGATTTTACGTTCAGCTACATTGATGATATTTTAGTGTTTTCCCTATCAATTGAAGAACATGAGCAACATCTTAGGACTTTGTTCATTAGACTCCATTCCTATGGCGTTATTGTAAACTCGTCCAAGTGTGTTTTTGCAATGCCTGAAGTGACGTTTTTAGGGTACACAGTTTCAGCATCAGGTGTCTACCCTCCACATGACCGAATATCTGCTCTTCAGGAGTACCAACTACCTAAGACAATGCGTGGTCTTCGACGGTTCCTAGGTATGATCAATTTCTATCATAGATTCTTACCTAAAGCCGCAGAACTCCAAGCACCTTTACACTCTCTGCTTGGTGGTGCAAATAGCAAGGGATCACTTCCTGTGCCTTGGACCCCGGAAACTGAGGAAGCGTTTCAAGCTTGCAAGTCTGGTTTGTCGTCGGTGACACTCCTATTTCATCCGAAACACGACGCCCCTCTTGGACTGTTTACAGACGCCTCTGACATTAGCATAGGAGCTTGCCTTCAACAATTTGTTGAAAATTCCTGGCAGCCACTTGGATTCTTCTCTAAGAAACTTTCACCAAAGCAAAGCTCTTGGCCGGCGTACTACCGTGAACTTCTTGCTGTGTATGAAGCAGTACAGCATTTTCGTCATTTTTTGGAAACCACGGCATTTACCATTTTTACGGATCATAAGCCACTCATCTTTGCTTTTCATCAACATCGTGAGAAACTTCCACCTGTTCAACTACGCCAGCTTTCATTCATATCCGAGTTTTCTACTGACATAAAACACATCGGAGGTTCAGAAAACATTGTTGCCGATGCGTTATCACGTGTAGAGGCTATTTCATGTTCATTGGATCCTGAGTCAATTGCCAAAGCACAAAGCTCAGATGACGAACTCATCAACCTCATAAACAACAACAATTCGTCTCTCAAAATACAGAAGATCCAAATCCCTGGAACAAACTCATTCATCTTTTGTGACACTTCCACAGGGACCCAAAGACCTTATATTCCAGTTGAACTACGGAAGAGGGTATTTCATTCGCTACATGACCTCAGCCACCCAGGCATTAAAGCTACTGCAAAACTTGTAGCAGATCGATTTGTCTGGCCAAGTATTCAAAAAGAATGTCGTAACTGGGCTCGTACTTGTGAGCGATGCCAACGTTGCAAGGTAAAACGACACGTTCATACTCCTCTAGGAACATTTTCTTTGCCATCATCACGTTTTGAGCACATCCATGTTGACATAATTGGACCTTTACCACCAGCAGGACCATACAAATACTGTCTTACAGTCATAGACCGTTACACTAGGTGGCCTGAGGTTCATCCTTTAAAGGGGATTACTGCAGAAGAAGTCGCTGAAGGTCTAGTCTCGTGCTGGTTTTCTCGTTATGGTGCTCCTTCAAGAATAACTACTGATCAAGGCCGCTTATTCGAATCATCCCTCTTCAAGTCCCTTGGAAGAACTTTCGGCTCTGAAAGAATCAGGACTTGCAGTTACCATCCCTGTGCAAATGGATTGGTGGCCACCATCCGGAGAGATTCCATCGTCATCTCAAAGCTTCACTGATGTGTCTTCATGATTCATCCTGGCTGGAAGCTCTTCCGATTGTCCTCCTAGGTATAAGAAGTGCGTACCGCGAGGATATTCAAGCGTCAACGGCAGAAATTGTTTTCGGACAACAGTTGAGACTTCCAGGAGAATTGTTTGATCTCCCTGTTGACGGACCCAGGCATGAAGATCCTACTGATTATGTTGTACGACTCCGCCAACACATGTCTTCAATCAAACCTGTCCAAGCTTCACGCCACGTCAAACCCAAAACTTTTATATTTCAGGATCTTAGAAAGTGCACCGATATTTTCCTAAGAGACGACTCTGTGAAACGTGCTCTACAGCCTCCCTACAACGGACCATATCCTGTAATTTCTCGTGATGAAAAATCCGTAGTAATAACACAGAATGGCAAACAAGTGTGAGTGAGCTTAGACAGGGTGAAGCCTGCATATATGTTACCCGAAAAGTGTAATCACCCAACAATCAAGGAGCCTCAAAATATACAACCTCCAAACACATCCCTCAACCCTCCTAACCCGGCATCATTCAGAAGCTATACGACTCGGTATGGACGAAATGTTAAGCTCAAGCTTCCTGGACTTCCAGTCTCTGCGGGGGGCTGATGTGGCGTCAACTTAGCCACAGCTGTGTTGCCTTTGGTCTATGCTTTGTTTTCATATTTGTTGTGTAACAGCTGTTGCTTGTTTTTGTAAAAATGTTCAGTTTTGATTATGTTATGATTCAACACACAACTTAATTCATTTGTAAATAAATCATTATCAAATACTCATTTATATAGTAGTGAATTTAATTCATACAGATTATCCACACTATAACAATTCCTTCCAAAATGACCATTTTCACAGCCATTTAAAAACTCCCTAGCATATTTCTGCAATTTCACGCTATCTTTAGCCATCCCTGGTTTTATTCTAAAGATTAAACTCTATTCTAAAGATAAAATCACAAACCTTTGATAATAAAGTGTCTGATAATGTCTAATAAGGT